TTCCTACTAAGAAGTGGAGGGCTGATGAAAAATTTTAAATTTGGGGGCAAAGAAAACAATCACATTTTTACATATGTTTAATAAAATGTAAAGAACTAGTACACTGAAGAAATTAAATTTAAGTACTTAAGCACAAACAAAATAAAAAGTATTGTTAAACAGTCTAATGCTTTTAGACAAATTCCTGCCAGATTATTCATGAACATGGCCTTGAGTAAATAGTCTCCCTGTAATTGTTTATTTGGCTGAGTAATAAAAGCTACGTCTCCTGCACAGTTGTACTTCAACTCCCAGGCAATTAATGTGTCTTGCTATAGAAATATAATATGCAATATATTACCCTAAGAAAATTTGTTGTATAATATGTAACAAATTTATACAATGTTAGAAACATGAGCTCCCCCTAGATCTCACTGAATTATTCTTTTATTTTGCTTTAAGGGGTTTTGCATTTTATCTATGGAACCAGCAGACTCTGTTGCCTTGTCTCTTTGATAAAATATACTCAATAAAGGGTGCTGGGTCTATAATACCTCTGATTTGGCCCACAGAGTTAAAGGGGGAGAATAAAAGGCCATTTTAAGGATGGAAAGAAAAGGAAAATACGTTTTAAGAAGAATCATTTATTTCTCTTTTATCTTTGTAAACGGCAGAATTATATATTGCTTCCACAGAAGTGAACACATTTGGAGATGCTTATGTGTCTATGTAGAGATGCTGTCAGTTCTCCAGATCAGGTTTTAACAGCAAATTGAGCCATGTAAATTGAGCCACATGAATCCTGAGTCTCTGAGGGCTTCAAGGTTCAAGACGGAACTGAATCGACCTCATTATAAGAAGAGGACGTTTATAGTTGTTTATGTGTGAAATGAACCTTCTTTCATTATTGTGGGACTTAAGCAAAAAGGCAAATCATGGTTTCCACATGCTCTCAGTCCTTACCATTCCTCCAAGTGTGGAGAGACAAGTAGATCAGACGGGTTCTATTACTAGCCGAGGCAGTAATGAAGGAGCGCAATCTGCATCACAGTAACTTCTTTCTTTTTTTTTACGTAATTTTATTATAAAATTTTTCACAAAAAAACAAAATGCAACAATCTACAAAACTCAAAATTTACTATTGATGCTAATTTCTATGAGTTTCCTGTCTACTGTACACAAGTCAAGAAATTAAAGAAACTATTAAATATTTAGAAACATTCCACATCAGAATCTTTAAAACTTAACTATGTAGTAGCCCCTCAAAAAGCTACAATCTGAACTTTTGAAAAAGTATCTTCTCTAGAAAGAATCTTATCCGCTACACAGAAATCTGTACAGTTTTTATATTGAAGCTAATATTGAGCTGCACTCCAACACGTTTATTGATATGAAGGAAATTTGCCAGCCTTGAAGAAATCGTATAGTCTTTCATAATTGTATTTCTGGGAATTACAGGACACATGGAATGTATTCAGTTTATATATGCTAAAGACGACATGGTAAAATATTCTCGTTAGAAAAGAAAAATTAACTGCTATATGTAACTATTATACATATACATAAAACTTACTCTGCTTCTTTCTTCATTCATTTATGAATTTTCTACCATTCCTTATTAGCTTCACTACTTGAAGATTACAGGCCATGCAAGAATCACCAAGTTGTCATTTTCCATGACAATCTGCCTCACCTAGCACCTAACTGTCTCTCCTGGGTGGGGCATATTTTCTTCTTTTCAAAGATATTTATATAAGTCACATGGGAACATCAAACTCACTCACTTCTCTTTTATTTAATATTCAAGGCTAAGTGAAATGTATCTTAAACTCCTTTTTAATGCCTTCGTTTTATGCAGTCATCTCTATGTGATTTAGCTATATGTCTTTCTAGAACAACATTGCAAGGGCAATATTTTTTAAAGTCTGAGTACACCTAAGAGAAAAGTATGCATCAGTTCTTAACTTAAAGATTTGTGACATATTTAATTTATGAAAACATTTTAGGTGGCATTGAAAAGCTCCACGTCCCCAAAGAATCACTATTGTTTCCAGCATAGACTGTTGCTTTAATATTGACTAATTAAGTTAATAGTGCTCATTATGTCATTGAACCATGAAATTATAAATCTCTTTCCTTCCCTTCTCCTCTTTGACCAGAATGGTTGAATAGCCTGACAATTTTACAAATCCTACCAGCAATACTCAGACTGCATTGTATCTTAATTGAATTAATTCAATAAGTAAAATATAATTCTACTCAATGACATTTTTCATCAACTCTTCAAACTCTTCAGTATGTTTAAACAATTGATTTTTTGACAGAATGTAATCTGGTATTAACAATTTTTTGGTATTGATGGTCCGTAGCTCTGAATAACCATTTACTTTGCTGTTGAAGTATTTCAAAGCTTCTTTTAATTACTTCAGAATCGTTCCTAACAATATGTAAATTTTCCCACCGCTCCGTTCTCTCTAAGATTTCACCCTTGAGGACTTTATCCAATAATATATTTTCTTCTACCATTATGGAGATGACTCCTTATCCCCATCTCCAGTCCTTGGCTAGATATTTCTAGCTCCAGTTCTCTTCTAGTTATTTTTAACTGTATGACCCATCAGAAGATCAAATTCAACATATCCAAAAAAGAATTTATTTTCCCACAAATACTGTTTTCCTCCTGTCTTCATAAGACTAATTACCCAAGTGTGAAATCTTGGTGTAGTCATTGATTCTTTTCTCTTTTGCGGTTGTCTCCCTCTATCATTCCATCTATGGTACCACACACATACACACACTCAGCATTTGACAAAATCTTTTGATTTCTCCTTTATAGATTCATTGCAGGGTCAGCCCCAGCAGCCTACTGGTTAATTCTGGCATGCTCCATTTCAGCTGCCCAGGTTCATTTCCCAAGGATGGACCTACTCCACTGTCTGTCAGTGGCCCTGCTGTGGCGGTAGCTCACATACAAAAAAAGAGGAAGATTGGCACAGATGTTAGCTCAGGGCAAATCTTCATTAGCAAAGAAAAGACAAAAAATCATTGCATTTGCCCCTATTTTTTCTCTTGTCTGGTCAAATATCATAACCTCTGCTCAAGACTTTACCTCTTCTTTCCATGTAAGGTTGTGCTGGAGGTATTTTCCTGATGCAACACTCTAATCATGCCATAACCTGTGTAGAGAGTTGATGGTGGTAAGGATGATAATGGTGGTGATCAGGCTCATATTGGAGCAAGGCAGAAACTCAGAATCTTTCACGATTTGATACCAATCAATTATTCTAAGTTCATCTGTTATAGTTAACAAACTATAGCAAAAGTTATAGCAAAAACAGGAGGGACCCCCTCCCAAAGTTAGTTTTGGATGTTAACACTGATGACCACACACACACACACACACACACACACACACACACACACATACACACACACTCCAAATGTGTAGCACACAATTTATTACTTATGTAATTGAAAAGGGGAGAACAGAGCAGGCCTCTTAAGCAGGTCCAAAGTGACTTGAGATAACAACGAAAGGAGATGGACTCTGAGTTTTTATTATGATTAGGGGTTGGGGCCACTGTAAGAGTTCCATCTGGAGGCAGGGACTCATCTGGCATGAATCTCCTGCCAGCGTCAAAGAAGGGAGCACTGGGGCATTCTCATCAGCTTGTCCAGATGTGGGAGCAAGAGGAAGGGGGAAGGATGAGGCTTAATAGCTATCAGCCAGCAAACATCAAAAACTAGAGTCAGACTCCTCATTATAGCATCACCTTATATTGTCAAAATTCTATTCTGTTCTTAGCTCAAGTCAGATCATCAGTTGGCAGCATTTCTGTACCCTACCAACTTTCCTAAAACCACGTCCACAAACAACAGAATAGCATCAATAAAATATAATTTGATGGATATTAATTTCTCATTTTTTATTTAATTATTGAAACACTGAGAAATTGTGACCTGATCTTACTGTGTCCTACATTGTGAAAGCATTAAAAGGAAAATTCTTATGTGATCTGTCATTCTATTTTTTCCAGAAATTTCAAATATTGTACCAAATGATCTTTTCTCATTATTTGGGAAAGTTCTCTCAGTAGATACCCAGAAATATCTAATTCCAAGATATTAAATCACTTAAAAATGATTTTGCTAAAAAATCTTTATAATTGATCAGGTTTCCTTCTTTACATTGGACGCAAGACAGAGCTAAATTTTGGATTTTACTGCTGTACACATTTATGAATAAAATGTACCCCAAGGATAATGTTTCTTTTTCTTTAAAATTTTTTCTTTGGCCAATTTATTTCACTGATTTATACTATTTGATGCATCTCTCTGAATCTGTCTCTTTGTTCTTTTTATGGATGAAGGCATTTGTAAGGAAGGTCATGTCTTTTAATCCATATCATTTTTGGTGGTTTTAACAAGATATCCCATACATAATCAGCAATAGAGGAAACTAAGGGGTTGACACCGCACTATCTGAAAGCTGAATGAGAAATGTATTTAACCTAAAGTCTGTGTATAAAACTAAATTGCAGTGTTGTAAACTATATAGATTTATAAACTGTACAGTCATGCATTGTTTAATGACTCGACTCGTCCTGAGAAAAGCAGTGCTACGTGATTTCATTGTTGTGTGGACATTAAACAGTGTACTTACACAAACCTAGGTAGTACAGGCTACTACCCACCTAGGCCATCTGGTACTAATCTTATGGGACCATCGTCATATATTTGGTCCAGTGTTGACCAAAGAAGTCATTATGTGGCACGTGACTGCTTTATATAATGTGCATGCCACTCAATGAGGGGTCAGAAAACTAAGGCTTGTGGGCCAAGTTGTGCCAAACCAAGTGTTTTTGTAAATGAAGTTTTATCATATCATCTATTGCTGTTTTCCTTCTAAAAGGCAGAGTTGAGTGGTTGTAGCAGAGACCATATGGCCCGCAAGGACTGCAATATTTGCTCTCTGGCTTTTGAGGATGAAGCTTGCCAAACATTTACAGAAAAATTGTTGGATACTTATTTAATTCTAAAGTCCAATCCAAAGAAACAACTCAGCTTAAAGGATGAGCCATTATGTAAGAAGAATTGAAGAGAACTTAAACACATGTGTTTCACGTGTATCCCCAGACGTAAAATCTTGATTAAAGAGTTCCGTTCTTCCAAGCCAGTCTGGATATTTGAAGTAGACCACAGTAAAGACACAAAGTCAGCTTAGAGATTCAGGAATCACGGCGTTCTAACTTTGATGACTTCTTAGATAACATGAAATGGTTGCCTCCATCACAAGAGATTTGCAATTGTTTATGTAAATCTGGTACATTGCAGAGTATCTTTCTCTTTGAAGAGACCTCTACACTATTAAAAAGAAAGAAAAAACAAAACAAAGAAACAAAGCTATTATGATCCTTCCACAAAACTACTATAAAATATTAAGGAAATGGGGTTATGCTTGAAATCAGTTCTGAAATAAGTCTCTAGATGACATGCAAGATATGATATTAACAAAAAATTTCATCTATGGTCAAATCTCAAGAGCTTTTATTACATAAGTATAATAAACAGACTTTAGATTGAGGATAATAGATCCTATGCATTAAGATGCATAAAATGTCAGATATTTTTACTAACGCAAAAGAAAAGCAATGTGAAACTAAATAACCATAAAATCATATTTAAAAGTTCTTTAATGGCTTCTCGCAGAACTTCGTTTTCTAATATTATTTACCCTATTAAGTCTTAAGTTCTTGAATTCTAAATTGTTCTATCAGACGGATTTTCAAAAACTGAACATGTTTAATTCCATTGGCTACTGAAATTTAAACTATAGGTCCATGGGTAGAGGAGAAATAATGTTTCTCAAGAGTACCCGGTCAAAATTTGTGCATCACTGACCAATGCCATTCCAAACACAAAATCATCTAGAGAATTCATCTAGTTAACTGAATGCAAAATCACCAAATCTACCCAAGTGAAAGATATGCAATCGCTATCCAAAAATCCATTTCATTGACTTCAAATGTCTTAGAGATACATCCCTTAATTTTCTTCATCTCTACTGTCATCTATTCTAATTAAACCATTATCTCTCAACTGATTAACTGCAAATAGATTTCTAATGGGATGTTCTGCCACCAGGCCAGGTCCTTCTCCCTTCATCAGAGAGGCCACAACTTGTGGCGTTCTTAGGGTCAGTCATCCAAAGTGAACTGTTTGTCATGTAAATTTCATATTAAAAAATTTCTGATGGCTTAGTTGTTGCTCATATACTAAAATCCATTCTTCTTCACAGGACATTTAAAGCAAACTTTGCCTTCAACTCTCTGTTCAGTGAAGATGAATGTAGACATTCATATATCTCAATGTATTACACAAGTCTCTGAAAAAAATGGCTCTAACATAGATAAGTATACTTTCATTATATATATATATGAATTGAAGTAATACAGAAAATCATTTATTCAATGACATTAAATTCCATATGAAAGACATTTTCTTTCAATATTTTTAAGAAAAATATATCACCATAATTTTTAAGCATTGATATATTTCTCCTTTCAATGAAACCCCATCACCTTTTAAATATGGCATAAAAACATTAATTTCTCACTATAATTGCTGATTCAACAATTCTGTAGAGAATTCATTTGTCTGAGGGAGGATTAAGAGAGGTAGAAGGGCAAAATTGTGACTAAAAGCCTTTTTTATTTGTAACTGCTATGCAATTTGAGTGTCAACATTTTGGATGTATTGTTTTAATAATTAATAGACTATTTTTTAGCACAGTGTTAGATTTACAGAATAATTAAATGGATAATACTAAGAGTTCCACCTATCCAACCCCAGACGCACTCTCCACTCCTACACACAGGTTCCCCTCATAGTAGCATCTTGCATTAGTGCGGTATACTTGTTACAATTAATGAACCAATATTGATACATTCTTCTTCTTATTATAGTCTGTTATTTATGTTAAGATTCACTTTTTGTGTTGTGCGTTTCTAAGGATTTTAACAAATGACATGTATTCACCATTAAGATTTTTTTAAAGAACTTCAATTTTAGAGCAGTTTTAGGTTCAAGGACCATTAAAATTTTGTACAGAATCGTTTTCACTAGCTTAAAAGTCCTCTGTGCTCCACCTATTCACCCCTTCCCCACCCCTGAATCCTTGGCAACCACTGAGCTCTGTACTCTCTCTATAGTTTTGCCTTTTTCAGAATGTCATCTAGTTGTAATAATATCATATGCAGCCTTTTCAGCCTGGCTTTTTTCACCAAGAAATATGCATTATTAAGTTTCCTGCATGTCTTTTCATGGCTTGATTGCTCTTTTCTTTCAAGAGCTGAATAATATTCCATTGTCTGAACATACCAGTTTGCCTATTTATCGACTTTTTGAAGAGCATCTTGGTAGCTTCCAGCTTTGAGCAATTATAAATAAAACTACCATAAACATTCATATGTAAGGTTTTGTGTGGACATAAGTTTTCAATTCATTTGGCTAAATGACAAGGAGCGCAATTGTTGGATTGGACTGTAGGGTAAGAGTATGTTTAGTTTTATAATAAACTGCCAAAGTGTCACTAGAATGGCTGTCATTGCACATTCCAACCAGCAATGAATCAGAGTTTATCCTCTTACTTTTAACCCCTCTGTGTCTTTACATTTAAAGTGAGTATTTTGCAGACAATGAATACTTGGGTGCTGTTTTCTATCTACTCTGACAGTCCCTGTCTTTTAATTGGTGTATTTAGACTATTCACATTTAAAGTAATTATTAGTAGAGTTGCATTAGTATCTGTCATGTTTGTAAGTGTTCTCTATTCATTGCACGTCTTTTCTTCTTTTTTAAATCTTCCCCCTTTTTTTGATTTCTCTGGTTTAAAATGAGCCTTTTATTTGATTCCAATTTTTTCTCCTCTCTTAGCATATGAGTTATACCTTTTAAAACAGCAGTTGCCCTTGTGTTCGTAATATATGTTTAAAGCTAATCAAAGTCTACTTTCATATAGCACTCTACCACTTAACAGGTAGTGTAGATAACGTATAAAAGAGTATTCTCAATTCTTCCCTCCCATCCCTTATAACACTGTTGCCATTAATTTTGTTTATCCCTATCCTCAATACATTGTTACTGTTTCTACTTTGAATAGCAGTTATTTATTGCATCATATAGGAATAAGAAGTGTAGAGATTTTATTTTACCTTCATTCATTCCATTTCTGACACTCTTCCTTTTTTTATATAGATACGAGTTTCCAATTTCTCAGAATTTCCTTCTCTCTGAAGAACTCCTTTTAATATTTCTAGCAAGAAAGTTCTCTACTTGTGACAAATTGCTCCAGTTTGTATTTGTGTATGACAGTCTTTATTTCTCCTTCACTTTTGAAGGACAATTTCACTAGATACAAAATTATGGATTTTATTTCTCCACTTCTGAAAGATAATCTTACTGGATATGAAGTTGGTGTTTTGGCGTTTTTTCAGTCTTTAATGTTTCACTCCATTCTCTTCTTACATGCATGGTTTCTAATGAGAAATCTGATATGATTCTTTTTCTTGTTCCTCTAGACGAGGTATTTCCTCCACTGGCTTCTTTCCAGACTTTCTTTTTGTCTTTGGTTTTCTTTAGTTTTAATATGATATGCCTACAGGTAGATTTTTTTCTTATTTCTACTGCTTGGTGTTCTGTGAAATTCCGGGATTTGTGGTTTGGTTTCTCTCATTGATTATGTAAAATCTTCAGCCATTATTACTTCAAACATTTCTTCTGATCCATTCTTTCTTGACTTTCTGATATTCCTATTATGCACGCCTTACACCTTTTAAATTGTCCCATGATTCTTGGATACACTGCCCTTTATCTTTTCTTTCTTTTTTTTTTTTCTATTATGCTTTTCAGTTTGGGAAGTTTTATTGTATTTAGCATTTCCTTTGTAAATATTTTCTATTTTGATATTTTCTTATGGTTTCAATATCTTTGGTTACATTACCCATCATTTCTTATATATTGTTGACATTTTTCGTTAGATATCTTGGCATATTAATCATAGTTATTTTAAGTTCCTCGTCTAGTAATTCCAAAAATCTCTCCCATATCTGAATCTGATTCTGATGCCTTCTTCAGATTGGGGTTTTACTTGCATTTATCTCAGCATGCCTTATAATTCGTTCTGTTGTTGTTGAAAGCTGTACATGGTATATCCAATAAAAGGAAATTAAGTAGATAGGCCTGTAGTGTGAGGGTTTATATTTATCTGGCTAGGAGTTAGGCTGTGTTTACTGTTTAATGTACCTATAGATGTCAGAAGTTGGAATTTCCTCTGGTTTCCTGTTGTCTTTGGGTTTCCCTAGAAACTCCTTCTTAAGTAGAGTCCTACACTTGCAGTTCTTTTAGCTGTTACTCACTCTTGTTATATAGGAGCCCTGTTCATGAGTGGTAAGGTTTGGGGAAGGAAGAGGGTTCTACAGTCCAGTAATTAGGTCTCAGTCTTTTAGTGGTCCTGTGTTTACGTGATAGGACCTTCACAAGAGCTTCTCAGCTTATTTTTCTTCTTAGATGAGACAAGAAGGCTATAGGGGCTAGAGTTGGGTCATTTTGCTTCCACAACTCAGATAAGGCCCTGCTGGTGTCCTTTCCCTTGCTAGACAAGACTTTGTTTTAGAGAAAGCTCTGGAAATATTTCAAAACGGTGGCTTTTCCCTTGGGAATACTTCAAAATGGTTACTTTTCCTTTGGGGTATAACAAAATGGTTACTTTTACCCTCCCCCTGGCCACACTTGAGGAGATTTTTTTCTACAATTTTCATCATAAGAACCTGATGAAGCTTCTGGAGGTAAAACCCATGAAAGTGTGGTGGCCTCCTTTAGGCTGACCCCCAGGAGTTTTTAACTTTCAAGCTAGTCTGCACTCAACCTCTAGCAACACCATTTAAGTGTTCCTACCAGGTACTGGCTCTGGTGACTTCTACTTCAGGTAAGCTGCTATGTATTCTCTGTATTAGCCTGGTCTCTCTAGTTTTTTGGGGTGATGACTTGTTATGTGACCTCAGTTTTTTGATGGATCTGAGAAAAGTCATTGGTTTTCAGTTTATTCAGCTTTTTTTCTTGTTGTGAAGGTAGGAATAATGACTTCCAAGCTCTTTCCATATTGGAAGAATGTTTGAATTCCATATATATATTTTGTTTGTTTGTTTCTTCCATGACTTACCTAGATTCGTTCATTTACTCATTCATTATTTTATTGATCTGTAGTCAACAAATCAATCAAGTAAACAAACAAGAAAAAATTATAAGTTGTTATCATAGGCCAAAATTTTTTTGGGGGGGAAATGCTACAGAAATGAAGGATAAATAAACCATTTAAATACAGTGCATTTGTCTCCCTTGCAGACTAGCTTCTTGAGGGCAGACACTATGATAAGTTCATGGGACAGGTATATTCCTGGTCCCTTGGAAGCAAGTAACATGCACATAACTCAATTCTAAGTGACAAGAAGTGTCTTCCTGGAATAAGAACGTCTAACGTGAGTTTTAAGGTGCAAGGAGTTAGTCAAGTCAAAGAGGGACAGAATGGTTTATAGTCATGAAAAAGGCTAGGAGACCCAGGCAAAATTGGTGGAAAAGATATGGAGGGTAATGTAGCCTAATCTTTTTCCCCAGTAGCATTGATTAACAATCACTATTCCCTAAATACATAAATAAACATGTTTACTATACATGTGGAAGGAAATTACAACCCTTCCAGGCATCTATTCAAATAAGCATGATCTTTGTGTTCCAAATTCCCTCAATAATAATTAAAAGCTTGTATCCTACCACCAATAATTTAATTCACAATAGGCTTCCAAAAATGCAATCAGGTCCACGTTAATTAACAAGAGATCATCAACAGTCAAAGATTCATGGTCTTGCTTTCTGATCAGCCACATGCAAAATATTTTTGAGAAAAAAAGTCAACCAACAAATCAGGGAAATAGTATATCTCGAAAAACAGCATCATCTTTTACTTCCTAACTTCAGCTTTTCTCTCAGAAGTGTATATTACAACATTGTAGAGTTTTACAATGCAAATCCACAGCAACTCTACAAGGTCCTTCTCGTGTAAATGTCTTTGGATGCATAATCAAGCAAAGAGAATCAAAAATATGCCCTGTTTGTTACAGAGAGCAGGGAAGAAGTGTTTGTTCAGATAGATTCTGGGTACCATCTGGGAGACAAGTGCCTGGTTTTGCAACAGATTGCATAATTTTCCTGTAGAATCTGGAGAAAAGCCCTAACTGCTTTAATAGACTGTTGATTTTACATGCCTTTAATCTTCATTTCGGTTTGTCTTAAAGGCAATCCATATGGTTGAATGGCAGAAGTAGTCATTAGCTTAACACAGTGTTCAGGCTTCCATCTTTCTGTGGGAGACATGCAATATTTCACCGTATAGAGAGTTAGTTTTCATTGCACATGGCAATTAATCTTTTTAGTAGCCAAGCGTCTACTGCATATGTAAGCCATTTGATTGATTAGATTAGAAATTTAATGTTACAGTTCATACATTAGTAATATTTCAATATAAAACGTACCAAGGACTCCACTATCAATAATATGAATGGATCCAGAGCAGCACAAATTAGCACCTGGAATGGGAAGGATGACCTTGGTGGGAAGGAAATAGTTCATCCACAACAGAGAAATCCTAGAGCAAAGTTCATCTTATTAGCAGTTCCATGTGGAACTTGTGGCTGGAGGGTACATGCATTCCTAACAGGCAACAGAGTGCACATAAAAGCAGATAGCAGGACACAACTCGCAAATAGAAGAGACAGTCAGGCTACTCTTTTATGCACCTGTCTCTCCACACCTTTCTTGGAAGATGTAGAAAGGAAAGCACTTTGGTATCGTGTGGTAAAAGATACAATTAAAAATCAAAACACATTGGCAGAATTAGATATTTAAATGGAAAGTATTGCTCATAATTATATCCTGGTGATAGTTTCTGAAGTGGAACAAAAGTAGGACACCTTTTTTCACTGAGCTAAATTCTTTTTAGGCGTGATGCTTGCACACCTGCTAGCAAAAGTAACCTATATCTTTCTGTCTACACAGAGAGGGAGAGTTAAGTAAAAAATTCCATTTATTTATCGCGCATTATGCCAGATGCAACCCTGGAAATCTCAAATAGGCTATCAACTTTGATCTCCCGACTAGTACTCTGAAGAGTGTCAGGCTTTCATGGTACATTGGAAGCAACTTGGGATCGAAGTATGTAAGCACATTTCTAAACTCTAAAATGTTAAGTGGAAGTTGCAAGATTTCAAAAGAAGAATCCACAATCCAGACTTGTATTCATACAGTTCTCTTCTCTATCACACTATTGTTTTCCTGCAGGAGAAGAAGCATTCCAAGCAAGGCAAATATCATTCTCTCCACATACCATGTACTCAGGTGGCCCCAAGGTTGAGCAAAATGTGCACATGGAGTAGCCTAATTAAAGGACACAGAAGTAACCACAAAACAGAAAGTAGAAAATATGAAATAGGGGATTGTGGTTGAGAAACAAAAACAAGATAAAATTGAGGTGATTATAGTAGGAGAATTTTTTTGGTAATGCTGCATTTGTAAAAATAAAGTATATTGTACATTATAATAATGGTCCCAATTCTTCAACACTTCCTGTTTTTATACCCTTTGCCTTATAACTTGGTACTATCCTCCGTCTCTGACCCCGAGTTCAGCCATTTGGCTTGCTTTGGGCCATTTGAATTTTAGCAGACATTACACAAGGGAGGATTGGAAGAGTTATTGAGCTTGTTCACTCTTTCCCTCTCAACCACGATGAAAAGGAAAGGCCCAAACTAACTTAATGATCCCAGCAAGAGGATGAGAGACGCATGGATCAGAGGTGAGTCACTCCAATCATTCCAGTCAAGCCCATCCTAATCAGCTAACAGCTAGCCAACTCCAGATATCTGAGCAAAGCAAGCAAAGAACAGGAGTGCTGCCTAGCTGACCATCCCAACACCTGAGCAATCAATGCTTATTAGGCCACTGGGGTTTTGGGTGATTTGTTACACAAATCCTTGTGTAACAATAGATATCTCATATAGAACAAAATGATAAATGCCAGCATTTATTAACAGTAATTTTTATTATGGTAGTCTCCTTTGTTTATTGTATTTCTGTTATCTCTCCCTTGTTTATCTCCAGGAAATTTCTGCTTTCTGAAGATGTGTGCTGTGGCATTTGATATAGAGATATTAATAGGTGTGTGAATTGTGGTCATTAATAAATTCAGCCTGAGTCAATATTAATTGGCTTAAGCCAACCAGGACCCATACCTAGAAGTGAGGACTGTACAAAATTGCTTGACTATATAGACTATTGATAAGAAAAGGGGAATGAATACAAAAGAAATAATTAATAAATGGCTAACAGAGTCTAGTAAAGAGTTGAATGAATGAATGAATGAATATTTTAAAGTTTAGTTAATATTCCTTTCTGTCTTTTAAGAACAATTTGAGTATGATTTGCTGGATGTTGGTCATAATCACCAAAGGATAATAGACTAAGCAAGTTCTTACTTTGATGTATTAAAGAGACGTGATATGGGGGGCTGGCCCCGTGGCCGAGTGGTTAAGTTCGCGCGCTCTGCTGCAGGCGGCCCAGTGTTTCGTCGGTTCGAATCCTGGGCGCGGACATGGCACTGCTCTTCAGACCACGCTGAGGCAGCGTCCCACATGCCACAACTAGAGGAACCCACAATGAAGAATACACAACTATGTACCGGGGGGCTTTGGGGAGAAAAAGGAAAAAATAAAATCTTTAAAAAAAAAAAGAGACGTGATATGCAGTTAACTTCACATATTTTATGTAAACTTTATGCTTTTTTAAGAGTACGCATTATAGCTTCAAGTCTAAAAACTGTTGGCTCTTCTACCTGAATGATGATGTGCGTTAATTTGCGTGTTTAATGTAGAAGTCAGTCTGCTGAGGAAAGCTTTTGCAGTCTATTTAAACTTGTTTTAATTTGAATCCCAAGTCATTCTTTGTGTCCATAATGTAGAATTGTTTAACAATCTGTAGCAATAAAGCAAAGATATGGGGACAGATTGTTTTCCGAAGTGCCTCTTGAATGCATACCATAGACTACCCAATGGTTACCAATATGGTTCATGTGAGTAAATGAAAAGGAATGATGGATGCAAGTCAATTAGCATATATCATTCAAAGTATCAATCTAAGAGCAGACACAGTTTCAATAAGCATCAGCCTTAAATAGTAAAATCTAATTGTTAACAGTCAAACCTTATTAATCAATTCTGTGCCTAATTATTAAATAATCTGTCAGTATCATTAATAGTCAAACAAAGAGATATATCAAAATACAGTATCAGACTGACATAATTAAATGGATTTCTGCTCAATGATAAATCACTATCTAATAGTAACAGCATAGAACTGAGATTAGTTAAATCTGGAATTGATTTGGAATCTGCATTCAGATCCCCTAACAACACAGTGTGAGAGCAAGGAAAGAGAAGAGCATTCTTCACATAGGAAACACTGTCTTCTGCTCTTCACAAAAAACACTGCTCCAAGCTGTTTGGACTGGGTGAACCAAGAAATTATTGGAGATTAAATTAAAAAGTGGCTATGTGGCCTGATTACCAAAAGCTAAAATTCATGAAGTTAAACTGATGGATGCATTTTAACAGAACCCAACTAGGGCCCAAGATTTGGAGTCTGAATCATAGACACGATAATAAAGCTAATTAAAATGAGAAGATGCTACCATCACACAGTCAGTCAGTCACAGATGGTCAGTGGTGGAAGGAGAAGTAAGTCAAGCCCATGGTATCAAGTAAATGTAAACAGATTGTCTTATGTGCCTTTTAGACAGAAAACGTGTGGAACTTATAATGGCTTGAGGTTCCTAGCAGTCCTGAAAATAAAATTAATGAAACAACAATAAGTGTGTTAGCTTATGTTTATTGTGCATTGTCCACAATACATGCCAGACTCTTCAAATTATTTTTCACATATTAACTTGTTTATTTTTTTACAATGAGTTTATAAATTGAAATGTATTATGGTCCTATTTTACAGATGAAAAATCCAAGACACAGAGAGATTAAGTAACGTGTCCAAGTTCAATTTACACCTAGTAAATCAAACAGCTGACACTAAATTCCAGGCAATTTAGCATCAGAGTCCATACTCTTAGAAGCTTATCTTATGCCCCTTAATTCAAGAAGTTCAACTTTGCAATATTTAAACTCCTTTGTGTCAACTGGGAACCCAAGACTGACTTACATTTAAAAAGTCCTTCATCCTCCATGATACTTTCACATTTGATTTCACAACAAACCTGTGGAGAAGGGAGAACACCAAGAATGACTCTGCTTAAGTGAGTTTTCCAAGGCAATGTAGCTAGTTTGTTTGTTTCTGTGTTTGTTTGTTTTCTCATGCTTTCTCATGGTTTACTTACTTATGTCTCAACTTGTTCCAGACCTATGTAAGGTTTTTCCCATAGGTCGGACCTGGTATCAGAAGGCCAAACTGCAGTCCAGACCTCATGTGAAGAGTTTAGAAGAGGGTAACTTTTAGTTCTGCTCAGAGATTGGAAATATCTATCTCCCTCTGCCCAAGTAGTTATATGACTGATTGGAAGTTATAAGCTTAATTCAGTTTGTTTTCACTTTGGCTCTTTATGAACTTTAGGTTCCATTTGTGTAAACTGAAAGGGCATACTAGAATCATCTTTAAGACACTTTAGATTCTAATATTCTAAGTGTTTATAAATACATTGCCTAATCTGCAAGTAGAAACTCAGCGCTAAATATTGAGTAAGTACTGAAAAGGTAAAACAAGTGAAGATGCTCCTTTAATATGATGTATTCATAGGCTTTTTTATACCAAATAGCCTAAGAGAGGAAACCTCTGTCAATATCACCAATGATAAAAGACTGTCAATTCTGGCTATTTTTTGTAATAAATATCACCCACCACACTTTTGTTTGATCATTCTCCTTAAATATATATTTCTTAAACCAATATCCAATATAAACTATGATATTGGCCTCTTGTCCAGAAATGTAAAAAACAAAAATAAAACGCCATTTTCAGGAGACATTGGAAATATATTCTAAATAGTAAATCAATAACAAAAATACAGATCGATAAAAGTGAAGGTGTGTACATCTAAATTCAATTAGTTGTAAAATTCAGACTCTGTGTATATTTGAGTGAGTTCTAAAAGTTATTTATGGTGATATTTGCCAATTAAAATGAAATTTGGGACGAGACCATCCCATGGTTTATCAGCATAATGCCAAAAGTAGTGGTTCTAGCTAGAAAACAGACAATCTCATGTAAGCGAGGCCCACTGACAATTTTGGTTATTTCATAATGCAAACACAGGCATAGGTTCAGATTTTAGCAAGCTGAAACAAAAGGATGCAGGATTAAGTTGCAATTTCATTTTAAAGGTCTGGAAAGAGCACTATGATCTATTGTGGAAAGACACTAATCGCTGAGGACCATAACGATTGCTGTTTGATAATTTTAATATGTAAGGGCACCTGATTAAAATTTAAGGGCATCCTAAGTATTTGTAAAGCTAAATTAACATTTATTGAGTAGCTCTTAGTGCCAGGCCCTGGGCTGGCTGCTTTGCACATGATATCCCACTTAATCCTAATGACAACTTTGGAAGTAGGCTTCATTAGATGAGAAAAGGTTTAGATCTTAGTGAAAAGAACAGAAGTTTGGAATCAGATGGACGTGGATTCAAGATTTCCGGTACTGATTTTTTGTTGAGTGACTTTCTTAAGTGAAAGGGCCATGCAAATTGGACAGATGCCTTCTCGTTTTACACATGGATAGATTTTGTGTGTGTACATGTTATTGAAAATACATAGTCTGTTATTCTACATATTCGAGTGTCTTCACATTTAACACACAGACATTATACAGTATTGCAAAAGGTCGAGAGGAAAAGTTGGAGAAAAAGTGGGAGGATGTTGATATATTAATTTAAAATCAATAAAAAGAGAGTGTTTTTTCAACTAAAATTTGGGGCATTTTAAAGACCTTATTATAAGTCTGATGGCAAAGTATCACATTGGAATTGTTCAGCAGTGAAGGGCAAGTATCACTCAATCTAGCCTAGGATAGGCTATGTGATGAAATAACCATCAACCCAAAATCTGAGAGACATAACACAGAGAGCTTTATTTGTTTTTCACAACAGGTCAATTGTAAGTTGGAAGATCTCCAGGGCAACTGTCTTCTAAGTTATGGCTCAGCATTGTACCTCCAAATCAACTCATGCTTCCATGTTAAGAAAAGCAGTGGAATGAGACAGGTGGGCATCAAGCACCAGAAATTAAATGCTTCCACCTAGAAAGCACACATATTACTCCATCCACATCATTAGACAAAAAAGCTCAGATGACTATGCCTAACTTCCAAGAGGCAGGAAACTAAAATCTTCCTATCCAGGATAGGTAGGAGAGCGGTGGGAAACCAGCTATCATCGAACAATTGTGGACTAGACATTTGCATCCTTTCTTATATATTTATATTTTTTTTAAGAAAAAATTGTCAGAGATATGCTGTCTATAGAAGCTTCCATCCTTTCACTAATATGTGGGGCAAGTTATCTAGAACTAAAATGTCCAATTTCAAAGAAAAATGTACAGAGGTTGCCCACTGGTTCATTAAGTAAGTAAAAAACGTCTGTCTGGCATTGCTTAAATTCTTAAGCCATGAGTTTCCTATACCTACAACAGTCTTCCTGAAAGTTAGAAGGTGAGCAAGCAGATTGCTGATAACTGACAGCAGCCTTCACTGAGACAACAACTGCCTGAATGTAGAATTCACTGCCAGGGATAAATGTGACATTTAAATTGCAATGCTCTTCCTCCCCTGCATTTCTGTCAGAATATGTTCAGCAAGAAAATGGAATGATTTAAAAATACTTTAAAATACACAATATTTGGTGTAACATTATAATATGGCATATCTTTCGATGAAATATTAGGTGGAGCAGGTTGCTTGATCATTATCATGAATGTCAAAAGGATGAAGTGTGATATTTAATACAATTCAGTGAATGATGACTTGATAACATCGTATTCCCTAAGAGGAAAGAAATAGGAGACCAGGAAATTCAAAGAAAAGCTCACCGTTCCCAACAATATTATATTCAAGAATAAACAGAACAGTCCATTTGAATCTAAATGTAGATGTATTTTGTCTATAACAAAAATTTCTCTTGGAGAAAAAATAAACTGAAAAATCGAGAAGATATTAATTGAAAAAATAACACAAAAACTCAGAAATATAAAATGGGAAAAAAACTTTCCCTTATATTTCTTAAACGATATGAACTTCTTAAATGTTTGAACATGGATAAAACTGTAGTTAATAATCAGAACATATATTTCAACTTAACTTCTCAGTTTCTTTATCTTAAAAATGGTCATGACAATGCAACCTTAAAAATGTATTATGAGGGTTAAGAGACATAACTATTTAATATGTCTAGCACAATTCCTGTTGTATCATGTACTCCAATATGCACCCTGGGTTTGAATCCTGGATGAGCCTCAAAATATAAATCTTAGGAATTCTGATTTAGAAATTGATTATCTAGGTATTTTTAAAAACTTAAAAGGTGATTCCATACAGGGTTTAAAAGTAGAGTAGGCACTGATAAATTTTTAAATCATGTACTTATCTAATAAATTCCCCCAAATCTGCTTGTGTGTGTATGTGATATGCATAGTGTGTATGTGCGTGCGTGTGCATAATTTCAGAGTCTTCATAAGAGCTCATCCATTGATCTTTTAGCAATCTGGGCTTCCAGGTCAAGGACCGCTGTTTTATTTTGTGAAATGATTTTGATTCTTTTTTGCTAATATTTATTGAAATAAATCATACACTTGACTTGAAGTATTCTCCTCTATAATAGTCATAAAAAACAAATACAGAATTTTGATATAGAATAAATCAGTATTCTGTTTAGTGAGTCAGCTATGTGAATATTTCAAAAGGCAACATTTTTATTCTAGTACCTTGAAATGCATTAAATATAGTACAGGTACTATCAATTAAAGTGTCTGAAAATTAATTACAACAAGGAGCAGAATCATTCAACTAATCACAGCCAGATCTAAATAAATTAGTTCTTAATCATAGCTTTGAAAGGAGAGAAAAAGAAAGCAACGTCGAGAAAGTCAAATTGCCTTCCTTTGGGCAAAGACATAATAAAACATACGATAAGTCAAGAGTTTAACTCCAATTTTGTTGATAAGATCATCATAAAAAGTTTTAATAATATTACATATTTCCCCAAATCTAGACTTTCAATATAATTGCTCATTGTTGGATAAAGGGGCATACTTGCCAAAGGTAGTGTGAAAGCTGTAGGCAGGTGACAGTAGTCAGGAGAAAATGGAGAAATATGTGCTTTCTAGCTTCTCAAACTCATTTTTCTCTCTAGACTGGGCTGAGGTAGGGGGCTCCTGTTCCACTACTTCATATATGAGGTCTCCCCTCCTCTGCATTCTTTCTTTACAGAGAGAGATGGAAAAAAGCTATCCCAATATCATTTTCCATTTAAGAGGCCAAGGATGAAAATTTATGGCAAATTTTAGGAATCGAGACATGCTAAGAGTTTCTTTCCTTAGTTTCCACAAAAGTAAGCTTGTTGCTGCTTTTTAAAGGAAAAGTAAAACAAATTTGAAGCTAACCAGCCTAGTTCTGAATCCTGGCCTTTCCACTCACTAGCTGTATGACTGCTCAAACTCCTTAACCTTTCTTAATTTCAGTTTGCTCAATAAGTGAATCAAAAATAATTGATTATATCTCATAGGGTTGTTGATATAAAGATAAGTGATATGTTCCTCATAGCACCTCAATAATATTCAATGTTATCTAATATTAATAGTTTTGCACTTTCTGGCATTTGAAGTTTCCCTTACTGAAACATTTACTCTGATAGTTGTAATTGTTAGGCATTTGCACTTAAGCTATCGCTAAAGGTGGGACAGAATTTGTTAACCATTTGCATTTGGGAACTAGGAATGCATTCCTTTGACTTGCAATACTGATATACCACTTTTTAAAAATCTATGATGCATATCTCAGGAATAACCTCAAGAATGTCATAATATAAAGGGTATGAGATTAGAGGAAGTCTCGGCAATGCATTAAAACCACTGCTCTAAGACTCTGCTCATAAAATCCAGAACATATGTCTTTATCTGTGCATTCTGACCAACATACAAAAAAATTCTATTATCAAACCATGTTCCATACAGTGGCCCAAAGGATCAATCTGAAGTACAAATTTGACCATAGCCGCCCTGGCTTAAAATCTTTCAGTATTCCCCTTTGCCTTTTCAATAAAGTTTAAACACTTTAACAGGGCTGACAAAGTCCTTCATAATCAAGTCTACGCTTATTCCCGTATCCTCACTGCAGACTTTTTTTATCTCTGGTGCTCTGTGCTGTATTCTACAACATGACCAGGTCTCTCAAGCGACCTCATTTCCTATAACATGGTCACTTTCTCCTTTGCCCACTCTTTGCCTGCTCACTTGGATTTATTCTTCAATGTATGTGCTGCTTCTCCTTCCCTGAATTACACACCTTAGTTAGGGATGCAGACAGAACATCCTACCGATGACCTCTCAGAGGTAGTTCTGGATCTTCTATCTAGTATTTAAATTATTCATATATTTACTTTTCTCCATTTGACCATAACAGCAGGGACTGTCTTGCCAATCACTGTCTGCCAACCTCTAATACAGTGCCTGGAGCATAGCAAATGCTTAAAAATCTTCTATGAATGAACCAAATAGCATTGCAGTTTTAAGGGTTTTGTCCATATTTCTCTCCATATTTTGATCTTTTAAAGAAAAGAACAGTTTCAACAATTCATGCAAAAGATCCGTATTGATTTCAGAGCCCTGTGCAAGTTGCTTGAGAGCAGGATGCTTGTCTGACTTTGCCTTCGCTTTCACATCACTCAATACCCAGCACAGAACCTGACGCTAGACCAAGAGATGTTGAACAAGAAAGGAATTAACACACCTTAGATACTTAGGATCCAGAGAATAAGTAATGAAAATACCAAGTCACCCTCTACTAACACATATTAAGTAGTTCATAAGCACTTACTTAGGGCAGAAATGAATGAAGGAATAACGACAAATACTTAATAACCTTCTGATGACTTCCTCAATTTGGAATTATCTGAATTACCATCTCATGATTATTTTGAACTATTAGAGAGGCAGGAAAATTTAGACCCTCCCTCTTAATCAATAAGTGTATTTCTCTTTTTTAAAGAACAAGTAAAACAAATGGTCTTCACTAACTACAGGGTAATGAAGAGGGGCACATTTTATGAGATGTGCGTGTGTGTGTGTACTATTGTTCCACTCTGATATCCAGACTAATTTGAAAATGCCATGATGGGTTGCTTGGCATTTGCTAAGAAATTATACTCAAAATGAATTGTAAAATGATTCATGGTTTATAACCTCAAGAAATGAACAGTAACGTTCCCTTATATTTGTATAATACATTAATCTCCATCATTGCTAGTTAATTGTATACATTTTTAGCTCCTGAATAACAAACATTTTAGGAAGACAAATAGCTTCTCCTTCTGGAAAATATTATATATGATTCTTTTGTTTAAAAAAGTCTTGCTAGATTTATTGAATGCATAGCATTATATAAAATTACTACTTTAGGACAAAATGGGATCTATGACTGAGCCAGAGGATGAAGAAGAAAAGGAGGTGAAGGAGAGGGTGTTAGGTCTCTTTCCAGAATCATTGAAAGTAAAGTATACTAATAAGTAAGTAAGTAAACTAATTAATGAACAATAATCCAATACTGTAACAACATGTTGGGGGATGGTTTGGGTTGGGCTACATCTGAATCAGGAGGTAAAATGATGCCAGGACTCCTAAGTGAACAGTACCCTCTTGTGCTAACTTTACAATCAGGAAGTCTCTCTTCATCATGTTAAGCTACTCTCAGCCTAACAACTTACAACTTTTGATGCCAAAATGCATGGTCATCTCTTCCCTAATATCTGACTGCCAAATCTCAGTGAAGATGGTTTATACTTTGCTATCATTCTGACAAGAAAAGAGATGGAGTAATGTGATGGGCCCGTCTAGGTTGCTATGGTGATAGGAGGGATGGGGTAACAGGATTGATAGGCTCAGCAGAGATACATGAACTGAGGTACGAATTATTCTTTCAAGGAAATGTTAGTTATTTTTTAGAAATAAGGAGAAATTTTTATTAGATCAGTGAAAATATCAGATTAATTAATCCAGTAAAGGGTATGTGAGCAGAACATCGAACTCATCTTACTTCAAACAAAGCAAGTCTATTTTCATCTGTTTTACGTATTCGGCATCTACATGAGATTTCTATTGAAGAAACTTTTAAAAAGCTTGGAAACTTCTGACATTGATTAGCTTAAGGTTCATTTTGACTTTGAAGATTCCACTTGTTTGTGAGAGGGGAGGACAGGGTCATTAGTATTCAAGAAGGGAAGCTTATGGAAAGGGTAACAGATGATGCTTCCTAAAATGAAATTAAACTCATTGCAGGAGGCAATTACTAATGATAAGTAGATAAATGTAGCAAGATAGTAAAAAAGAGCAGAGATTAAATAGCTAGCACCAAAATCAACCAATCTTTACAAGTTATGATTAATCATCCAAGAGAAAAAATACCCATAGAGTTGTGATCCTTTGTTTGCTCAATGTTGCTTTGGGGGAATCCTGGATCAGGTAGTAAATGAGTTCTTCAGAGATGAAAAGTTTAGGTTTTATAACTTCAAGAAACTGAATGTTCTTGAGAGGTGTTGGCTGGTCCTGAGTTATTGTTAGATAGCTGTATATTACAGGGTACGAAGATTACCAAGACTATGACCTCCTCCATTAACTTCTCACCTTTCCATTTGAGAACATCATTCCTGCGGGTTTCATCATCAATGTCTGTCGTGCTGGTGCCTCAGGAGTGAATATTTCATCTCAATATGCCATAGTTGCTGATAATACTGATTATAGAGATGATTTTCAAGCACCTACTAGAAAATAATACCAGCACTCTATTAAGCATTTATCAGCCAAAATATGTCAAGTAATATTCTTTTCATCTTTTTCAAATTAGAAAGCTTAGGGCAAATAGTTAAGTACCTTGATTAAATTCAAATGGCTAACGAAATCAAACTTGAACTCATTAGATCCCAAAGTCAACTATTGTCCCTTTGTAGCACAAGCTTTTCTACTCAATTCTTTGTTTTTTACGTCCAGAATGATTCTCACATATAACAAAGGAATAGAATGATGGAATTTCCATTTTTTTAGTGTTGCTCCTTTTCTTCTTTTAACTGATTTTCTTATTCCATCAAACAAGCTTCTTAGATATAGGGCTAAAGTAATTTCAAATATTTTTCTCCAACTCTTCAGTCAATGCTTGCTAAAAATAGTCCAGAAAAATTTCCCTGAGTTCTTTGGCCAGGAACTTACCTTCCCTTCAGAAGGAATTGTGTAGTGGTCCATGTGGAGTCAGATGACCCCCTCCTAATTCTTTGTACCATAAGTAATATGGGGAACATCTTGTTATGAGAGGCAACAGGGGCAATTCTTTTGTTTTGAAAACAACTCTTTTCGGTTACAAAAAGGTGGAGTTGGTCAATGAGACAGAAAATTCTCCTGTATGTTAACAACAATACCATCTCATCTTATATTACAAATTTTCCTCAGGAGAGCACTTCATTTGTCATTGTAAGAACTTTTGAAATTAATACGAATCCGTGGTTTCAAAGGAAGTTAATAGAACCAAAATACAAAGCTGCTTCCTTGTACTTTATAAATTTAGAGAAAGTACTTTTCAAAGGTAATTTTTCTGAACACGAAAAAGAAATTTCCAGATTTGAGCTGCAGGGTGCCTCAGGGACTAAATATCTGAAGCTCCTTTGTCTTAAGCTAGAATAAGTTGACAGTAACATCAGAACGGAAGCAGTGTCCGTGTTAGGACTCACGTCCAGAGTTTTTGATGACAAGAACATTTGGTGTTAAATTCTAAATTGATGCTGAGTGACAGAATGTCTCCCATACCTCTGCCACTTGCAGACAACTATCACAAGCTCAATTTGCTTAATAGGAACATGGCATGTTCCAGCCCACAAAAAGGCAGGTGGCTTCAAATGAGCAGTGGCCAATATGACTTTTGAGAGACACAAAAACTTGTCTGCCTTTACTGAACCAATCATTCAGCCAACTATACATTGGGGAAATTAATTCTTGGAGCAAAAGATTTCATTACATTCATAACTACAAATATTGTTCTTGGATATAAACTACCTGGCTCTCTTGACTCAGTGACCTTTTATTTCGGTATATCTAATAGATTTATAATATGTTCTGGGAAGAAGTAGTTTTATTTTTTTTTAAATTGCTCTTTTAACTTCCTGAATATCAGAGGAATGGTAAGTCCTTCCAGAGATATCTGAGAAGTCAAAGAACTCTATGTATTTTGTAACTGTGGCTTCCAGCTTGCTTCATAGTGGCAGAATATCACAGAATCTCAGTATTGGAAAGGATCTTAGGAGCGAATCAGTCTAATCTGATAATGAATCTTTCTTCCCTAGTGGATCATGAATGCCACAAGAACAAAATTAATGTCCAACTAACCCTTATTTTCCCAATGTCTGACAAAGAGTCTTATTTGGCATGTCTTAATTATATATATAATCACTAAGTGAAAAAAAACATAATGAGCTAATCTAGCTCAGAGTTTTCCAAAAAGTGGTGCATTTACCATCAATGATATAAGACTAATATTTGGACAAGTGTCAGTATGTTATTTCCTGTATTTTAATATACCTTTAATATTTATTACTTTGTCATTGAATTAAGGAGTAACAACCATAAAATTGTAAGCTCAAAATAAATAGTATATTTAAACAAAGTGTAATAAATAAACGAATAGATGATATCATTGATGGGAAAAATTGTGAAGGATAGAACGGAAGAATGACAGAAATCTATTCTACCCAATGCTGGGTTCTCTCCATTTCATCCCTCTTTTATAACACCATCAACTGCTTAGGTCTTTATTGTTATTATGATATTACCATTATTATTATTGTTATTGCTATTATCATATATAAAAATACCATATGAATTATGATGCTATTGAAATGTACAGTTGTGGTTTATTCATTGTTTCTCAACCACTTGACATCTATGTTTGCTCTTACCAGAGGAGTGAGTGCTCTCATCTGTTATAATGTCTCATTTTCATATGTTCACTTCTTTATCGTCTGATGCTTCTATGCTTTCTTGGCATCCTAAGGTTGTGATCTAAAAGGTAGCTTTGAAGGATAATTTCTGGAAGATGTAAGTTGACTGTTCATAAAAGGCTCTTGCAAGTGTGTAGGGGCCGGGAAGAAGTGGTACTGGAATTGACATAGAGCCAGAAATAGAATTCTGGAAAGTTTTAATTTTCTTGATCCTTTCACGTTAGTGTAGGAAATACATTTACTTATCTATTATCTTCTAAGAAATACTTAGAGACCCTTCTATCTTTATCTTTCATTATACACAAAGGCTCTGGCTATGGTACTTTGAAATAAATAATGAGGAGTTATTAGAAATGCAGTTTTCCTTTCATTAAAATTGGACTCGCAGGCTGTGAAACCCTCTCCTATCACTATTTCTGACATTCATTTTTATTTTCGTTTTGGAATATCATTACAATAGTGCTCATTCCACTGTCAGAATTTTTGGACAGAGCAGTAAAATGAATACATTAAATCATTCACTGAACAGGAATTAGGCTCTTAGTGCCCATCTGAATCAGAATCAGGAGAAGAGCAATCGTTTCCCAGAGCAAAGATTTAACAAGGCAGGTTTTTCTTATTTCTTCTATTATTTTTGAAATGAATGGGAGTAATGAACATGCTCATAGGTTTATGCAGTTTGCCCCTGTAAAACATCCTAACATCTTTAGCCCTTTGCTCCTTCTGGTCCTTTTTGAAGGCGACAAGGTGTTTGAAAAGATAGAGGATCTTTTAGGAACACTGAATGCTGAGTCCCTGACTCTTACTGTGTTTGAATATTTGAAAGAATTTCCTATATAGTCTTCCATATTCCAGCTAACCGATACTTCTTACAGAAAAGAAAGATTTAAACGTTTGTTTCTACATGCTTCTAGAATACAACAAATGGTTAAACAAAGTGTGAATTCAGCACACATTTTTCCTTTGGTGTCACTATAATGTAACACTTTCCAAGTTCACATCCCTGCATTTGTAACAAATGAGCAGAGAAAGATTCCTGAGATTGACTCAACTGCATATGAAAGGTCTCTGAAGATTTTTTAAAAAAGAACTTTTTCTCACAAATTATTTGCCTCCACCTTTTAACTGCTTTGTTGGGGATTTTTTGAGCTCCTAATTCAAACAACTTCTAGTCACTTTTTCTTAAATTCTATCTTGGTTTACTTATTGGCTACTTATTGGTACATAAGAAATTGAATTATATAAAGTCGACAAAACATTTATCAACGATGTTAATTTCTGATTGGTTTTCTGTAATATAATTTCAGATACTTGTGAGGGATTTTATAGTAAAGCAAAGGTTTTAGTAATCTTGGCATTAGCTAAATTATCTTGACTAGATTTGGGGGCATGATACACTTGTCTATATCTTGATTGTGGTGATGGTTACACAACTGTAAATATTTGTCAAAATGTATACAACTTCATACCAAAAAAGTTGAATTTTCCTGTACATAAATTATATTTTAATAAATTACCGACTTACTAACAGACAAAATGACCACTTTCGTTTCAAAATATCCTCACAAATGTCCAAATGTTATATCTCAACTTCTTCTCTTTGTGATTTCTCTTTAGCTGATCCTGCTAACCTTTCCTCCCCACCGCTACACTGAAGACCTCTACAAGACTGTTTTCAATGACCGCCATTTTGTAATATCATTGCTCTTTTATCAATTCTCATCTTACATGATATCTCATCATTATTTAACTGGTATTCTAAGAAAAAAAAATGTTTCTTCACTTTATTTTCAGAATACTGCATTTTTTTTTCTTCTTTCAATGTTCCTTCCATTTTACTCACTTCTTTTCAGTAACCTCCTCTTCTTCGCAGTCTCCTGACTTGAAAACCATAAACATAACCATATGCTGATCTCTCTCTCTCTAGATAGAAATATAAATAGGTAGATAAATAGATAAAGCTTGGTGTTCTCTGAGTTTCCTGGATCTGTGGCTTGATGCCTGACATTTATTTGGGGAAATTCTCAGTCATTATTGTTTCAGATAATTCTTTGGTTCCTTTCTCTCATTCTTCTTCTTCTGGTATTTCTACTGCTTGTATGTTACACCTTTTGTAGTTGTCCCGCATCTCTTGGATATCCTGTCTTGTTTTTTCCCCATCTTTTTTATGTTTACTTTTTAGTTTAGGAAGTTCCTAAGGAGATAGCCTCAAGCTCAGAAATTCATTCCTCAGCTGTGTGCAGTCTACTAATAAGCCCATCAAAGGCATTCTTCATTTCTGCTACTGTGTTTCTGATCTCTACATTTCTCTGTGGTTCTTTCTTAGAATTTCCATCTCTCTGCTTGCATTGCCCATCTATTTTTATATGCTGTCTAGTTTATCCATGAGAGCCTTTAACATCTTCATTGTAGTTGGCTTAAATTCCTATCCTGATAATTCCAACCTTTCTGCCATATCTGAGTTTGGTTCTGATGCTTCCTCTGTCTTTTCAGACTATGTGTTTTTACTTATTAGTATGCCTTTTAATTATTTCTTGATAGCTGCTCATGATGTACTGGGTGAAAGGAGCTGCTGTCAGTAGGACTTCAGTGATGTGGTGTAAATTGTGGGGGGAGGGGAAGCATTCTGGAGTCCTATGATTAGGTCTCAGCCTCAGTGAACCTGTGTCTCTGAACTAAACTCCCAATGTTTCTCAGGTTTTTCCCCTCCCTTAGGTGGGAGAGGATGTCTGGAGTAGGTGGGGTTGGATCTTTCTCTTTCTTCAGGTCTGTTAGGCTCTGATAAAACCCCAGCAGGTTAGGTTCGAGTGAAATAATTTCTCCTGAGGGCAGAACTTGTTAATAAGAACAGAATGTTCCTTTGCTCCTCCCCCTCCCAGAGAGTGGAGAGATTTTTCTCTGATATTCACTCTGAGAACCTGATAGATCTCCATGAGTAAAAACTCACAAAAGGTTGTGGGGGAGACTGATGACTGGGTCCCTGGACTTTTTCTCTCTCAGGCTTTCCATACTCAGCCTCCAGAAATTTGTCAATGATAGTTCAGGTTTTCCCATCCAGCACTGGTTCCCATTGAAAGTCTGTGCTCTAACTCAGGCTTTGAACAGTCCAGGAAGTGGGAGGAAGGGGTTGGTAGCTTAGAAAGAGGCACCTATCTCTTGTCTTGGGAAACTATAAAATCTGAAAACTAAATTCACAACATCATAGTCACTCATCAAACCTCAAATGTAATTGAAGTTTAACTGATTTAGTTCTGTTATGCCAAGGCCAGGGCCCTTGGGAAAACCTTGGACCCTGACAAATAGGATGGAAACATGTGGATGCTGCCAAAGGGTTTAGTTCCCCAGGCTGCTCTTATCTCTCAGTGCCAGCAGAATTGATCTAGCCCTCACCAGTAGAGCTAGCACTACCCTACATGAGAAGACACTGCGAAGATTTCACTCCCACACAGCAACATGGACAACAAGATCCACTTCTGTCTGTCAAATCTGTACTAGGTTGAGGCGCAGCGTAACGCAGCCAGGGACATGGTAGGCATGATCATGAAGGAAAGGACTATAGCCCATGAACTACAAGAATTAGCCAGCATTCACCAAACTGGATTTTGAGGGCACTCGATCAAGGCGTTCAGAACAGAAGACTGGATAAGGGAGAGTTTATTAACCTGAGGCCACTCTCTTGAGGTGTGAGATTTAACACTCTGGCAAAACCTTAGGAAAAGACAAAAACTTGCTGCTAGAGTAGCTTCTAGAATCCAGGGGAAACTGATGAGCCATTCTGAGCTAAGTTCAACCGCCTACATTACCAGGCCAGATGTGAAGGAAGGGATTGAAAGGCTCAGGTGCGTCAGCATGCTAGAAGTATTATGCTCCTTGGCAAGGCCAAGACGACACTATTCACCTAGGCCATAATGCTCTGGTGACAGGCAACCAGTATCAAAAAATAATTTGGTAGTAGCTCTCTTCTGGAGGCTGGGATTGAATAAAAGAGGCTATCACATAATTGACTCATGGATAACAATGGGGATGTGGGGTTCTCAAAGCAATAGAGGCCAGATGGCATTGCTTACCTTCCAGAACCCAGGGGTTCATAATCACGTAAGAACTGACAAGGTGGGAGTAGCAGCCAAGAGGTCTTCACCCACAAAGACTTGTGAAGATATTTAATAAAACATGATACCAACAGGAACTAGGTAGATGGGCAGCCAGTAAGAGTGCTGATAATAGAAAAACAAAGATGGATGACCAAAAAGTAGTTGCTCAAATTAAAAAAAGAAAAATCCCTTGCCTAGTTCCTGGACCTGAGCCAGTTTTTAAACTTGTAAGATACCTGCTTTGGGGATCTACCATATTAATAAGGTTTATAGGGGTCTAGTGATCAGGGGGTTATGAAAACATTCTCTTCAAAGTAAGAGACAAATTGCATTATCTTCTATGTGCTACCTTAGAAAAAGAACCACAACACATGGTAAGCCTCTTCAGATTCTGAACGAACGCATGCGACACCTTGAATTACTGCTTTAGCCTAAAGCTTTAGACTTTCAGCTTTGAGTGAGGTCTAGAGGGGAGAATGGTTCTCCAGGAGGGGCAGCCTACGGTGTAAGCAGGCTTACTGCTTGGGCCATGGCATACAGCAGAACCTGCAGTGTTGGAGATATCAGTGCTGGGAAAAGATGCAGTGTGGAGATTCTGGCAGGTCCCAGTGGGAAAATCACAGTTCTGGAGTGAGGCCATGTTATTTGCAGTGGAGCATTAAATGACCTTTGTAAATAGCTCCTGGTGTACTAATGGGCCTTGGTAGAGGCAGAATGCTTGACTATGGGACAGTAAGTGACAATTTCTCTGTAACTGCCTAGCATGAGTGTGTTCTGTTCAATCTAGCAAGTAATAAAGTTGGGCAGGTGCAGCAACAATTCATCAAAAGATGAAAATGATATATCCAGGATCAAGTTTGAGCAGGACCATAGGGCATGGCAAGTTGTATGAGCAAGTAGCCCAAATTCCAGTGTCAAAAGTCACCATTGTACCAGCATCCCTCTCTCAACTCAGACCTATGAGCATAGGAGAGGATCCTGTACAATCACCAAAACAAAGGGAAAAAATCCCATGCATTTTATGGATGCATCAGCTGAGTATGTGGTACACAAGCCAAAATTGGATGACGGGTGTGTTATACTCAGATGTAACTTTGAGGGCAGGCCAGCAGGTGAGATCTGTTGAAAGAAAAAAACAAACAAAAC